AACCCTCGCTACACATGGTCGTCATAGTACTGATTAATAGTATATGGTTACCACAGTACCAATCACTATGTATGATCACGATAGAAACCCTCACTACACATGGTCGTCATAGTACTGATTAATAGTATATGGTTACCACAGTACCAATCACTATGTATGATCACGATAGAAACCCTCGCTACACATGGTCGTCATAGTACTGATTAATAGTATATGGTTACCAGGGTACCCATCACTATGTATGATCACGATAGAAACCCTCGCTACACATGGTCGCCTTTGTACCTATCACAATGTATGATCGTCCTAGTACCCAACAACACATTTAGTTGTCAAATACCAAACATTGGGAAAGGACGTTATTTGCAATGAGTTTAGCCCCGGGTTAATAAAACAGTGTCGCGTCGCTACTTTTTCCGGTTAAGAGCGCATTTATTGTACGTTTTAAGCTTCATCTCTGTACAGTTGCGACACGGTAATCGTAGGGTAAGCTTACCTATCCTTTGGGAGGGGATTCCGTGTCTTGACGAAGTTGGGTGAGAGCCGACACAGGGAGCAGTGGAGATATAGGTCTGTCTTGCTCAGTGTCAGATGTCGCTCTGGAGTTCAACTGGAAGCTCCAGACGGACGACTATTGCTTGACCCGATCCGGAATGTCACATATATTGATCACAACAGTACTAAGGAAATGTAATTTTCAGGCCAACAAAGTACTGGTAGTACCATAAATGACACGACGATTCCAGTTACTACAGCAAGACCTCCAGCTAATAACCTTCCTGGTGAGCTCTTCACAACATTGTTGTCAACATTTTTGTGTGTACATTTGCTAATTGGGTACATTGGTGCGATCTTTTCTGTATAGCCACATATATCACTAACAATTATGTACTGCACATACTATTGTAATTCTTTTAATGAATCTATTTTTTATTTTTCTGATATTATATATGTTTCACCTTTGCGACGATCCGTCAAGAGCAATTAGGGATCTGCTTGTATGTGCATGTCCTCAAAAATGCCACAGCTCTGCTGAAGAGCCCCAAATTGCCTGAGGAGCCCCAAGATGGGCAAAATGTAGTCTTCGTGTTTTGTTTTATATATATTTTTACCGTCACATGGACATTTAAAACACTTTACCGCTTTATACATATACATGTATTGCACTTTATGCATAACAAAATCACGTTACATGTACATACTAAAATGTCTTTTATCCCATATTCATTATAGTTTTCTGCTTACTTTGACTTTTTCTGTTGAGTCGTAGAAGGACAAAACAGCAGTGCGATTCATTTTCGGCATTCTGTATACAGTATGAATTTAGTAGGTGCAATCCCATGTGGGTTACGTTGTTCTTGCATAAACATTATTTTAAAATACGTCATATATGCACTAAGAAACTTCCTTTTATGCAGAACTAAACTACTTAGATTTAGTTTAACCATAAAGGAATCAAACAAGTTACCTAAACGTGTAAGCCTATGTGAGTATTTCAGTACTTACATGTATAAAGATGAGATTATCTCAGTCGCTTACCTTTAATTTCTAAATAAATACAGGGATCAATGATTCATCCTTTTATCATTCCAGTCGTTTACATTTGCCGAAGCTTATATGGGTAAAGAACCCTGTCTAGAAGCTAACATGACTTTTGTGTAAAGTTTTTATTGTTGTTTTAGCATTGTTTTTTTCAGTAGAATACAGGAACAAACATTCATTGTTGTTTGAGCATTGTTCCTTTAAGTATCGTACAGGTGTAAGGAATTAAGCATTGTTTTTTTAGTAGTTAATATATGTAAATATTAATTGTTGTTCTAATATAATACAAGTGTAACTACTTATTGTTGTTACAGCATGACTCTCATGTGTAATAGTTTATCTTTATTTCAGCGTTGTCTTTTCAGTAGTTTATAAGGGTAAATAGTAAGTGTTGATCCAGCACGGATAATTTCAGTAAAACATAGATATAAATCAAACGGAAACCGTCGGCACCTTCCGTAAACGAGAAAAGTATTTTCTCGTTTACGGAAAGTGCCGACGGTTCCCGATTGAGATATAAATATGTATCTTTGTTAAAGCATATATATTGATTACGGGTGTTACATGATTTGTCTTTGTTTCAGGATGGACCTTTCCGGTAGTGTTTATGTGTACAGATTTATTATTGTACCAGCATAGGTTACATGTGTAAATATCCATTGTCATTTCAGCATGGATTATCCCAGTGGCTGCTACTGCCTGTGGTATTATACTCTTGCTGGTTCTGGTCGGCGCCATTTGCTATTGTCAACGTGCCAGAAAGCCAAACAAGGCGAAAGCCCCACAGCGCGGATCATCTGTGAGTTTCTCTGTTTTTTCTCTCTCGAAGATTCGAACCTATCGTTCTGTTTTGGTCTAGAACAAACATAAAACAATACAGTAAGTTATCAGGGAAATCGTGATTACCATTTCGATCCTTATTAGGATCATCGCGACGGTTACTTCATTTAGATAAACTTTACCGAGGCAAAATACAAAGTGAACGTGAATTATGTAAAGGCTTTATCGATTGATAACGCCCTTTGAACAGCTAAGGTCATTTAAGGACAATCCCTCGTACGTGTAATTTGGGCATGCTGGAAGGCATGTTAGCGTATTTGGCTCCTTGCGGTAGCGCAGGTCTGATGCCGAATTTAGAGTGCTTCCTCACTGAAATACACTGCAGAAAGCCCCATACACAGTATTACACATGGTTCCACGCTGACAACGGGTAAACCAGTTATTGCAATGATGCTGAATGCTAAATAGGGAATACCAATACTATTGTATAAGACCTTTGTGTTTATAAAATGTTATACATTATGAACTTCACTAAGACCATATATATTCCAATATGAAGTTCACTCACTTGGTCGACAATATGAAAAAAAAAAATTAAAGGGAAAAAAGCAACACATATTTATCGATTGATTCTTTTTGAAAAGAAGAAAAAGCTAACATAATCTCTATCGCCTGGTGTATCTGTATAAACAAGAAGCATGTCTGATTAGATTACATGTTGTTTATTTACAGACGATTTCCAGGAACGAGTTTGGTAGAGCTCGCCCCGAGTCGTTCTCTGGCATAGCTAATATAGCGTACCAGGCACAAACAGTTCCTGGCACGGATCCCTACAATTATATTTCTCCGGTAAATGTCAGGTAAGTGCCAAACTCCTTACAATGCGCTGACCTTGCGCGCACGCCATATTTTCTGACAACTTTGATAGTGGTTGTTTACATATAGTTGCTTTGTTGGCAATTGCTCGTTTCTTTTTCAGTGGCCTTGCCCCTGCTTCTGGCTTATTTGGCAGTGGATGGCTTCCTTAAATATTGAGTTAAAAAATTCAAATGTCAATCTGGTTTTGAAATATGTGGATATTTTTTTGCACAAAGTTTTGTAATTTCAACATGAGTTTTTGAAAGAATGGTCTCTGGCGACTTAAACAATTATTTAAAGCGATTATGCAAAGCACCAATACTAAAACAGTTTGTATGCAACTCGACGGTTATTCAGCTTTTAAGATAATTGTTTTTTGTTTTTGTTTTCTAGTTAAAAGATATATATTTCTTTACTCATTATCAAAACAAAATGATAACAAAGACAATAACTGACGTCACGGAAACAATATTAAAGATCCCTTGTTATATAAATCTGTTTATGAAGTATTATTCTGATTGGCTATTAAGTATGCTATACTGATGTGACATGTAAAATTAAAATTAAAAAAATCCTGATCATGTTTATTCTATTTTAGAACCCTTCGATATCATTTCCCGAAAACGAATTAACACAGTACTTGTATATCTGTAAGTAAGAAAATGAGACATTGATATCAATTCCCTCGGATTGGTATTTGGATGATTTAATAGAAATCTAAATTTGGAATTATTTTTCAGTGGACCTCGTTTATCGGCAATATCGATGAAGAAACCACCCCCTGCCCGCCCCCCACCGCGCCGCCCTACACAACCCCTGTCCTCTATCAACTCCAGTGGTGGACAACATCCATCCGTTATCAGAAGTGCGGGTCCACATCCAACACCACCAAGCAGTCCTCATGAATATGTAGAAATCACAAATTATGAAAAACTCCAGGCTCGACCAAGCACCATGTCGAGGGCGTATGAATCTTTAAAACATCCCAACCAAGGATTTGCAAAAGCTTCTATCAATGGTGAGTACAGTATACCGCTATCACGAGTGTATCCATGGCGGTCTGTGATGGCAACAGAAGTGACGAATCAATTGTAACAACATGTGGAAATGTTATTACGAATCATTACAAATCAAAATGAAGAAGAATGTTTTTTTCCTCTCGTCTTCCCCTCCTTCTTGGTCGGCGAAAAAACGAAATCAACTGTATCAGTCCCATCGGTTTCTGAGGGGAACTATAGGTTTGCACTCCGTCCGTCCGAAGAGTTTGTCCGGCACATATTGTCAATACTATTTCACCTGGAATAACCAGATTTGGTTTAGGGAAATGGCGGGGTACACGAATTAGGTCGTCGTGAGGTACGCATTGCCCAGGGCATATCCTCTACTATTTCACCAGGATTAACCAAATGTAGTATGCCAGTATATCTTATGATAGCAGAGTGCAGTTTACGAAAAGTAGCTCACTGCGATATATGCTTTGACCTCTGATCTCAGTCATTCAATACTATTTCTCTTGGACTAACCACATTTGGTATACATGTACAGGTATATATAATGAGAGGACTGAGTTTACTTTTTGAAAAGTCCACTTTGATCAATATACTGCGCTTTGATAGTAATCGCTGAAAGAAAGTGTCCTATTCTGTATTAAAATATATTTTCTTTACAGTAGGTTGGTTAAGAGCTAGGTGTACACCTCGTAAATAAGGAAATTATAAACGGTTGTGGACTAGGGATTGCCTTCTTACACTTTGCGTTGTCTAGATCTACTGTCAATCATAGTTCTATGTATGTTTCAGCTCAACAGTTCCAGCAGTATACAAACGATGGCTATAACCCGACGTAGTGATATTACAACAATCCTTGACAGAAATAAGGGCGATACCTGGCCTAACATTGACAACGGTGCTGGGGAAATAAAATCAAGGGCTATAACAACCCGCCCTAGTGATATAACAACAATCCTTGACAGAAACAAGGGCGATACCTAGCCTAACATTGACAACGGTGCTGGGGAAATAAAAACAAGGGCTATAACAACCCGCCCTAGTGATATAACAACAATTCCTGACAGAAACAAGGGCGATAACTGGCCTTACATTGACAACGGTACTGGGGAAATAAAAACAAGGGCTATAACAGCCCGCCCTAGTGATATACCAACAATCCTTGACAAAAACAAGGGCGTTACCTGGCCTAACATTGACAACGGTACTGGGGAAATAAAAACAAGGGCTATAACAGCCCGCCCTAGTGATATAACAACAATCCTTGACAGAAACAGGGGCGATACCTGTCCTAACATTGACAACGGTACTGGGGAAATCAAAACAAGGGCTATAACAACCCGCCCTAGTGATATAACAACAATCCTTGACAGAAACAGGGGCGATACCTGGCCTAACATTGGCAACGATGCTGGGGAAATAAAAACAAGGGCTAGAACAAACCGCCCTAGTGATATAACAACAATTCCTGACAGAAACAAGGGAGATACCTGGCCAAACATTGACAACGGTGCTGGGGAAATAAAAACAAGGGCTATAACAACCCGCCCTAGTGATATAACAACAATCCTTGACAGCAATAAGGGCGATAACTGGCCTAACATTGGCAACAGTGCTGGGAGTATACAAAGGTTATAACTCTGCCAAGTGACAAACAAGGGCTATAACGCTGCCCAGTGACAAACAAGGGCTATAACTCTGCCTAGTGATATTACACAATTTTGGGCAAAAACAAGGGCGATACCGGCCTCATATTGACAACTTGCCGGAAGTATACAAACAAGGGCTATAAAACGTCCAAGCAATATTGTAACGGAATAGAAACAAGGGCGATACTCGGTCCAGCTATGACAGTTGTAATAATGATATTTTATCTATATATTGAGGGTAACATAGTCAGTTAAGGCTCATATTACACTATGAACATTACGTTCCAGAAATCATACACCAGTAACAATTATAATGTTATGCTTTTAATATGTATATACATGATATACAATGTTGAAAATTATACCTCATACAATCATGTTAGCTATGTTTTTGGGGGCTAAAATTATTCCATATCACATATACACTCATACAAGAAGACTGAAATTTGTAAGTATATTACATTAAATTTCACAAGTCTCTGCGGTTTGTATAGTTAAAATATTACGCCGCAATGGAAAGATTTTTAACGAATTCGAGGACTATTCCATATTAGGATCACAGAAAAGCAAAAAAAAAATAAATCCTCCTAATCTTCAGAGTGTGGTGATAGTAAAACATACATATTTTCTGTGATGGACCGTAAGCTTTATGTAAATCTATCTTCACGTGTATCGACCCGGGATTGTATATGTAAACAAGTGCCATATTATTCTAGGATTTGTAAACTAAAATAGTAGTGCGATACTAAATAGTCAAGAGGTAGTACACCAACTTCTTTGTAGTATGATTTATTTAGGGGATATTACGTTGTTTTGAGTGGCTATACTTGAAATTTGGTTTGAACTCGAGACCAAACTAGCGACGAGCGCGCGATCTATATGTTGACGAGGCGGCACATTTGGATTGTTTGTGAACGTCCTGTTACCAAAGTGTAGCGGCATTTGGATCAACATTGACCAAATCCTCATCATTTCCATTGCTTTCTGTCCAATCATCCCATGGGTCATTAGCAGTGTTGGATTTCGCTTAGAGGTATAAGCTTGACGCCACAATGTTTTGGTTAGAAACGGGGCGTGGCTTATATTCAAGTGCGAAGGTGGAGCTTAACACGATTGATCTTGATTCTAACGCAGTTTAGAACATGGTCCGTATCCAATCAAAACACGCGTTGCAAACGAATCGTGTTATTTAGTACTGCTTTGTCAAGTAATTGCAGTATATTAGCTATAACCCAGCACAGGGATGACACAAATGCCGGCAGGATACCAACAACATAAAGATTTAGGATGTAACCCGGTATAGGATAACAACACCTCCGGAAGTATACAACGATGCTAACCCTGTTTCTTCAACACAGTAAAATTATTCCTAAAGCAATATATATATTTATATTTCCAATTATTGACAATTTTTTGTTAAACAAAGCTGTAAATATTGTACTTTTTATCATACATTGTATCTTGACCATGTGTAAGATGAGCTTCATGCTCAATATGTTATCAAGAATAAATAAAGCCTTTATCATTATTATGTAATTTTGACTACATCTTGTTTCACGTTGTATCTGCAGAATGCAATACATTTTTAATTACTTTTCTTAAGAATATTTGTCACCCTGTACCAGGTATTGATATATGAAGACAGAGGTTCCCCACGGTGTGTTACAATTGGTTAACAGGTTCATCTAAGTAGAGTTAATTTACCTGTGTTATAAAAGACACGATATTTTATATGGAAAACCACATGTTGACCTAGAAAAATACATTACAAACAGCTAAAAATGCTATATATAGATTACACTTTCATTCATTCATTTCTTTATTCCTCCTAATTGGAGAGTTACAGGTACATGTATTAGGACATAATATAAATAAATACAGAAAAAGAAATCATATGTAAAGTAAAGAAAGAGGAGATATTCTAAAGTGGACAAAACCAATGTATGTAACTAGACCTGTAAAAGACTCCAGGCTAGTGAACAAAGCAAACAAATATGATTACAAAGCTTCACAAATATATGATGGAGTATAATGATAATGGTTATAAACTGTATTGAGACGAGTCAACAAAGGAACGCAATGCATATATACATGTGAACCTTACTGTGAATTGACATAAGGGTTTCCATGTACAATCATGTTAGAAAGCGATTTAAATTACATAAAAAAGGTTCACAGACAATATAAGGATATTATATCTACTGAAATGTTAGAGCTGAAGCTCTCTCCGCAGTCAGACAGTCTCGGATAAAGGGAAACATTACATGACCCTCTCCCAGGGCGAGAGCAATATCGTTGGAGGGACAGCCAAGTATAGTGGAAATCTGTTGTTCCCTTTCAGCTTAATCTAAATACACATAAATACATGTACGGGATAGACGTTAACCATATTTGTATAAAAGACATCTATAAGCGAAGCTAATTCAACACTGTTGCAATCTAAGATACAATGGGCGACAGCGTCAGAGAAAAACAAATTACATTTATCACAATGAAGTTCGCAATCAGGTGGGGTAATCCATAATTTAGAAACTCGTTTACAGATCTCAGCTTAGTTTGGAGATAATTTTGATACATGCCACAGAATGGAAGGTGAAAGTTCTGTTTGAATATTCCTAAATCTGCATAAATCACAATTCGGACTCGGACGCTGTGTCCACTGTTCCTTTTCTTTGCAAAGCAATACATTTTTCACAATTTGCTTCCACATTAGTTTGTAAGGCATGCAGGAAGACTGTAAATAATCGTACAAGTAAAACTGCAAATCGTAATTATGAAAAATATTCCATACACCGGGTATAAACCCTCTTTTGGACTTATAAATACTAAGATACATATGATATATAGGTAACAAAAACAACTGTTTTGCAGTACATTGAGATTTTACATTACACAAAGCAGCGAAAAATCGTAGTTTGCATTGTTCTACATACAGAGAAAGTGATGGTAAACCTAACATTCCCAGTACAATATCTGACCTAGTGCAAACTGGGAAATTTTGCATAAGTTTTGCACAGAAATGGTGTTTGGTCTCTAAACGACGCCAATCAGTAGAGGAAAGCGCGAACCAGAGCTTACAGCCAAATAACGCTCTTGGAAGCACGATTGATTTATAGAGTTTCAAACTTGTTAAAGGATTAAGTCCTGAACCAAGTAAGTTACACTGCATAAGAGCAAAGCATTATCCACGTAACGTATGCACAACTTCATCCAGCTTTGGACGACCTGGACTGAATTTATCTACAAATATACCGACATGTGTAGCACTAGTTGACTCCTGTACTTCAGTTGGCACAAGATACCACTTCCGCTTTGAATTAGTATAGGCATTTTTTCTTTCATTAAAAACAATAGCAACAGATTTTGATGCATTGTACTTAAATCTCCATCTACAGCTGTATAGATAACAGATATACATCAAATTATCCAAGTCGCTTTTGCAAAGTGAAAGTAGGACAATATCATCCGTCTGAGTAGGACAAGTAACGTTAATGTCATGGACAGAAAGTGCGAATTTTGAAGTACAAAGTTCATTCAACAAGTCATTAATGTAGACAGTAAAGCCAAGGCGAGCGAATACTCTCTTGACGGATTCCCTGGCATATTGGGAACCATTTAGAACTAAAACCTTGACAAAGAACCACACTGTTCATATCTTTATACAGAGAAACTATCATATTTGACAGTATCACGTTTAAAGCCCAAAAGAACAAGTTTAAAAATTAAACCTTCGTGCCAAACACAGTCGAAGCCTTTCGCCGCATCCAGGAAGCAAGAGTACAGTTTACTATTATTTTCACCAGTGTAAATAATCGTTTCACGCAAAAGATATGACATTATCGTACTGCTGACGTTCTTCTGAAACCCATTTTGTAGAGAATTAACATTAAAAAGCTTTTCAGAGACAAGCCTGTCAAGTAATATTTTTTTCGAAAACTTTGACAATGACAGGCATGAGAGAAATAGCGCGATAGCTATTTGGGTCAGATTTAGGTTTATTGTGACCTTTATATAGAGCGCAAATGATTCCCTTTTTATATTTGACGGGAATATTATGGTATGGCGTTGTCCGTCCGTCCGTCCGTCCGTCCGGCGTAAACTTTTGTTTGTCCGGCAATCTCCTCCTACGATCTCTTTGAAACTTGGTATACATTATAATCATGATATGAAGTTGTCTCCCTTAGAAGAATTTTGATTCGACAATTTTTTCAAAAGTTATTGCCCTTTGTTCATTTCAGTATTTGATTTTTGTCCGGCAATCTCCTCCTACATTTTTCAACGGATCTCTTTGAAACCGAGTAGGCTAAATAATCATGATATGTTGTTGTGTTTCCTTGAAAAGAATTTTAATTCAACATTTTTTGCAAAAGTAATTGCCCTTTGTTCATTTCATTATTTGATTTTTGTCCGGCAATCACCTCCTACATTTTTTGACAGATTTCTTTGAAACTTAGAAGGCTAAATAATCAAGATATGTTGTTGTGTTTCATTGAAAAGAATTTTGATTCGACGATTTTTGCAAAAGTTATTGCCCTTTGTTCATTTCAGTATTTGTTTTTTTTTATCGGGAGATTTTCTCCTACATTTTTATAGCATGTCAGCTAACCACTCTTTGAATGATGCAGATCTTATTTCAATGTAAGAAAGTATATAACATTATATGGCATTCAACGGGCGTATTTTGTTCCGCCCCGCGGTACTCTTGTTTAGATCCTTTGGTACAAAAGAAAAAGGTTTAAAGGCACTAAAAAGATTACACAGACACTCATAAAAACAATCATTTGCAAATTTTCATAAACAATTAAATCAACACCTGCAGCTTTGCTACGGGGAATATTACGACAAACAGATTTCACTTCATTAAAAGTAAAGTCAGCCAACGAAGAGTTCAGTCGTGAGGTATCATCCATGAAGTCGTTCAAAAGGTTCTCAACTTCCATTTTGAACGAGTCGTTGAAGTCCTCATGAGAAGACTCCGAGAGATTTGCGAACAATATTCCCCAGGTGGAGTGATCCCCCCGGTGGAGTGCGAGACTCGGCAGATCTTTAACTACAGAATCTCCAAATTTCATGTCTGCTCCAGTGTTACCAAAAGAATTTGATCGACGAGACTTAATCAATGACCAAAATGATTTCTGATTTAACACAGCTGAATTTTCTAGTTCAATATTCAAATCAACCAAGTGAACTTCTGAAAGTTGTCTGTACCTCAGACGAAATCTTCGTTTGGCTTCTTTATACTGACTAAACAGAACAGAGTGAGGATCACGCGGTCTTCCACGAGAAACCCAAATACAGCGTAATCTCCACATTTCATTGTGGAGGGCCTTGAGCTCGTTTCAGGAATTTACAGAACTTGCATTTTTTTAAGCGACGATTCAGAAGCAGACTGCAAACAGTAAGTGATATCTTTTGTGTAAGTTACAATATCATTTTCGACGAGAAGACTAGTTTGATCCTTTGATGTACATCAAAAGAATCTATCGGTCGCGTAACGGTAACACTTAATGGCTTTGAAGTCAGGCGTCGCTCCTCAGTCATCTTCAAAGGACAGGTGTCAGTCTAGTGATTGGTCAGGTTTTTTTTTACCTGACGCCAATCAGATAGCTAGCCACTCGCCTTCAATTTTGCTATGACATATTCCAGGGGTGTTTGATTGGTGACAGGTAAAAAAACTGACCAATCACTAGGCTGATACATGTCCTTTAAGATTACAGAGGAGCGACACCCGACTTCAAAGCCAGTAAGTTTTACCGTTACGCGACCGCGAGATTCTTTAAATGTACATCAAAAGGATTAAACAAGTCTTCTGATCTCATCCACAAGGTGGCGCACACTGAGCCTTCAATTTTGATTCGCCATATTCCAGGGGTGGAGAGAGCGAAAGTGAGCGTAACCCCCTGGATATCGAGAACGTTCGCGTTCATACTTTGAATGGTCAAGAAAGTTAGGCGATATCCCTTCCACTTGGAAAGCNGAGAGAGAGAGAGAGAGAGAGAGAGAGAGAGAGAGAGAGAGAGAGGAAACGTTTCACTGATATGAATATGCCTCTGAACGTTTAATAACCTAGCATTTATATTGTCACGATTATACTCTAGTGATAATTTTTATAACTTCTTATCAGGAAACGTTCTGGTCCGTCATATATGTCCAGGGGTCGCTGTTAAGTGTTGTTTTATTGATATTGAAGCTGCTTTAAAAACTGCCTAGGTTTGGGCAGGATGAAAAACACGTTGATACAGCTTGAATCAATATTCCACAAGTTTAATGTTACCCTACGCTGGCAGAAAGGCGTTTAGATTTGAGTCAGGTGTCAAAACCCCGTTTATTAGTAAACAAATTTTTTTCAGAAGTGTTCTACATTTACCCATGAAAACTTCTTTAAAGTTGTATTTTTCATTTGTGTCCAAAACACGATTTACAATTCAAACCAAAAACTTAACATTTTTCTTTCTTTCTTAAAGCTACAGGGAACAAGGTATTACAAGTGATACAAATCCCCTCGCATTCACACATTATGTGCCATATGTATGAGGAAATGAATAGAAAATTCAGTAATGTAACAGTAGCTGCTGTAGCAACTGCTTCTGTTGAAGGTACATGTATTGTCATACCAAACACTTGTATCAAGTTTCATGAAATTCTGTTGAGGATTGCAGTTGCTACAGCGATGACAAAGTTATTTTTCTAAAAATAGTAACAGTCACCTTGACTCTCAACGTAGAAATCCAAAATGAAAACTTGTTGAAGGTATTGTCATGCCAAACACTTGTATGAAGTTTTATGAAATTCCATTGAGAAATGAAGTGGCTAGAACGATGACAAAGTGTTTTTTTTGTTTTTTTTTTAGTAATAGTGACCTTGACCGGCAACATAGAAACATGAAAAGCAAACGTGCCCAAGGTCTTGTCATACTACACACTTGTATGAAGTTTTATGAAATTCCGTTGAGAAATGAGCGATTACAAAGTTTGTAACATACGTACATACATATGGACGGAATTCTATATCTCTCGAACTTTCCTTGCGAGGGGATACAAATCATTCATGGTTGTGCCAGGTTTACCCTGTTTAAACATGATTCTGCACTTTAAAATATTATAAGGTAACTGTCCCACCGCACGAAAAATAACAGAGTATTCAACTTTGGTCTATCAGTCAGAGAGTAAGCTCCCCTTAATTTCGTTTTTGATATAACTGCAGTGGGGCATATTCCCAATGTTTTAAGATAAAAAAAATCTAACCTGGGTTAACAAGGATATCCCTCTAGAATTTCTTCTTCTTTTAATTACTCTTATTTTATGCCTTTAATGTAATTTATTTACTTTTAAATGTTGATAGCTTTATCTGGACCTATGTCACTGTAAACCTTCCTTTTGAAAGTTGATCAAACTTAAAAACTCTCCATTACAGAATGTGACAGACCCAATCTGATTCCCTAGGTCTTTTGGAAATTCAGAAGCTGTATCAAGGTTTTCAACACATTTGACCCCGTGACCTTGAATAAGGGTGAAGGTCACTCCGACAGCCCTTCATTCCAGTATGCTAATGACTGTATTTTATCACCTTAGACTTTTTTGGTTATACAAAAGTCTTTAAAATCTTTTTATGCATTTGAAACCTGTGATCTTTGAAGAAGAGCATGGTTATTTTAAGCTTGAAAGCTCTTCATCCCAACATGCTACAGGTCAAATGTCATCATCTTTGGACTCTAGCATATTCAAAAGTCATTGAAAAATTTGAACACCTTTAATCTCAGAAACCTTGAAAGTATGCCATGTCATTTATTTGAACAAACTTGATAGCTCTTCATAATAGCAATAATGTTATGGTCTGAATATCGAGACTTTAAACCTTTCTGTTATTGACAAATAGTTGACAGGTTTCAACATATTCGATATCTGTGACCTTAGAATTGGGATAAATAACCCTTCATCCCAGCATGCTACTCACGAAGTTATCACCCTTGGTCTTTTTATTATTAAGAGGAAGATTTAAACAAGTTTTTCCCTTTTGACTCTTTGACCCTGAAAGCATATTTAGAGTATTCACGTTTTAACACATTTGATCCCAGTGACCTTGAAAGCTGATCAGGTAAACCCTTTAAACAAAGTTTGTGTATCTATGTAACCAAATGTTTTAAGCCAATTACCATAACCCAAGATATTTTCATATTTATAAATTGTTTGACACATTTTAGGCAATGACCTTGAGTGTAGGTCAAAAGTAATTTATTACAACAAATTTGGAATTTCATCATTCCAGTACTAGCTATACAGGCCAAACATTATGACCTTAGACCATTAGAGTTTTTTCATGTTGAAATACAAATCTAACGGCCTTCAAAGTGATTTAAGGTCATATTTTGAAAATATAAAAGTCTGGCATCCCTCATTACGAACTTCATGACCTCAGGCCTTTTGTTTATTCAGGAGAAGATGGTTAAAGGTTTAAAGACATTTCACATCTTTGACGTTGAAAGTGGATCAAGGTTATAAATGTACCTGGCATCAATCGGTAATGGATCGACACATAACACCAATGAATCACACGAAATAAAGGACAAAATCAACTGGAACATATTTTTTTTATTGAACAGCCCTTCAAATCTGAAGAACCAAAAATCAATCAATTAACATCTCTCGAAGACTTTGTAGAGGTCTGGCAGGTTTGCTATCTGTAGGATACTAGAATCCTGTGACAAGGAGGCTGGTGGGTATAACAGTGACCTTAAGGCAGGGAATACTACGTGTTCTGTCGTAAACTTCCATTTCTCCTCCTGTCGAATAGAAAACAATCAGTTTTCTACATTCTATTATAATATTGACAAATGCTTCAAATATCTAAAACAGAAAGTTCCTGTTGGTTACATGTACCCAGCAACACAGTTGTTTCACATCCCACATACTTGTAGATAATACAACTACGTTTATCAAATTATTCTACTGTGAAATCACTAAATTTTGTGGGATTTTAAATTTCGGGGGTAATCTTCATCCATGAATTCATACTAAAACAACGAAATTTAGGCCCACAAAAATATCTGATTTCACAGTAAATGAACATTTTTTTTTTTTAATAAATTCACTTGAGTACACAATTTCATAATTTGAAGATGAATTCTTCACTATAAATAGCATGTGACTACCGGCTGGTCAAAGGAATACATGTTTACGTCAGCACATTACATCAGAAATAACTGATTTTTTGCCTTAATTTAAAAAAAAAACATCTGTGACATGAAAATGTTTCTTGGTAACTGTTTATCTCTCTGTTTCATGTTTGTGTCTTGATAAATGGGAGAACTGCCTAAAACATTGACTAGTTCCTCTGTCTGCACTGTCCTTATAACTTCTTAGCTTATATATGTATCCAGTAATAATATATTATATATGTATCCCGTAATAATATATTATATATGTATCCAGTAATAATATATTATATATGTATCCAGTAATAATATCCCGTAATAATATATTATATATGTATACAGTAATAATATATTTTATATGTATCCAGTAATAATATATTATATATGTATCCCGTAATAATATATTATATATGTATCCCGTAATAATATATTATATATGTATCCAGTAATAATATATTATATATGTATCCAGTAACAATATATATTATATATGTATCCAGTAATAATATATTATATATGTATCCAGTAATAATATCCCGTAATAATATATTATATATGTATCCCGTAATAATATATCATATATGTATCCCGTAATAATATATCATATATGTATCCCGTAATAATATATCATATATGTATCCCGTAATAATATATTATATATGTGTCCCGTAATAATATATTATATATGTATCCAGTAATAATATATTATATATGTATCCAGTAATAATATCCCGTAATAATATATTATATATGTATACAGTAATAATATATATTATATATGTATACAATAATAATATATATTATATATGTATCCCGTAATAATATATTATATATGTATCCCGTAATAATATACTATATATGTATCCAGTAATAATATATTATATATGTATCCAGTAATAATATATCATATATGTATCCAGTAACAATATATCATATATGTATCCAGTAACAATATATTATATAGGTATCCAGTAACAATATATTATATATGTATATAGGAGAATGTAATGAGCCTGTCAGGAATTGAAAATAACGAGGTACTTTGTGCTTTACATTACGGACCGTAACCAGGGTAAACACTACAATAGATATAATACTTACCTCTGTTTCTTTAGCAGGAAGGAACATACTTTTCTTGATAGAGTAGAAATAGCTGGTTTCTCTGCCTATTATACTTACCTCTGTGTCTTCAGCAGGAAGGAACATACTTTTCTTGATAGAGTAGAAATAGCTGGTTTCGCTGGCTATATTACCAAAGCACGCCTTCTCTACATCCCAGTCCACCTGTCACATATAACATAAGGGCTAAACTGTGGTGATTTTCTGGGGGAATTCTTCATAAATATTCACTAATCTCAAACAAATCTGGAGATTTAGAAATTAATAAGGGATAAAATAACCAATTCATGAGTTTAAAAATAACTCAAAACCATGAATTACATGAGAATGCATTTATAAATCTTGGCAATGAGGATCTACAGCTTAATTTGACAAAATTAAAAAGATACCTAGATGTATATATGATCAGATCCATTTTGAATGACAACTATGAATACATGAAATTAGAATGTTCATCTTTTGTTTGAGCTTACCTTTATAAAAACACGATTGGCTATTATATCAAATGATATACAAAATCAATTTTGTTATATTTTTTACTGTAATATATTTCATAAATGTTATACCTCTGTTGCCAAGCGAAGTATGTACATGGGTAATCCTTCCATATCAGGTACAAAGTTCTCCAGTAACATGGGCACTGTACACAGGTTACCTGTCTACAACAACCATATACACAGGTAAATACAGGTGATACATCTACATATCAGGTACAAAGTTCTCCAGTAA